TCTAAATATATAGCAGGGACCACCAGACCATATATCAATATGAAATATTAAAAGTATGGATGAACGTCAGACTTATAAATATGTAAGATAAATTCTAGCAAGAAAAATTCTCTATCACGACACAGTGAACAAATATTACTAGCTGCAGATTTAGCAATTGATTCAATATAATCTTTTCCACTTCATGTTAGTGGAAAACGTTAACCTAAGAAGGCACAATGAGTCACTCTCATGGAGGTAAGCATCAGCCATGCTGGAAGGCAAAAAGGTTTCTTTAATATTGTGTTGGAATGTGTCATGAAAAAATAAATGATTTCATTTCTTTCTCTCCTGCTGTCGTAGCGACGGACACAGTCTCCACTTCTGAGACTGAAAAAACGACCTCCTTCTTATTCCAGCCCATTACATGGAGCTTGATAACTCACCTATGCAAAACACCAACAAGCCAGTTACCAATCACAGTTCCCGTGTCTGCCCACCTCCACTTGCTTTCGGGGTTTCAAGTTGACCAACCAACTCATTACACGCCCTCCTGATCTTAAGATCACAAAGCTTCTCAGTTCAAGAGATGGTCGCGTTTGCTCTGAGGTGGCAGATTTCCAGATTCATCCCGTGTCTCGCTGTCATGCTCGCACACCGTGCAACTCGGGGCAGAACTCTTCTGCTGGGCACTCCTTCTGAGCGGGATGACAGGCTCCTCATCCTCGGATGAACTCTCATCCGTTGAGCTACCATCCGCCTCTGGACAGCTGGCCCCGTTGACGTCCACAGGTAGAGTACTGATGTTTGAGATAGAACTCAGTGGATCCAACTTTAAATACACCACTCGTGCACCATCTTCAAAGTCACTTTTATCATGTAATGACGGTTTTACCCCTACAACTGGCTGCAAGTCTTTAACATGACGAGGCATGCCATCAACCCGCACTGACTGCGGGCTGATAATCTCATTAACATGCCCCCATTCTAAGCTTGTCTGTACACACTTGCTGTGCGGGTCTTAACCCACACTACGTCACCTATTCTGTATTTAGCTTGTATGCATCGCCGAGCCATTGCAATGTCAATGCCTCGCAGCCATAAGTGATAGGCATGCACCATGTTAGCTGGTGCTATTGTAGGCGAAACACCATCTTTAGACATCGCATTATACCAATAGACTGCTTCAGGGTTCGAACATCGCTTCCTGGCTGCAATCACTTTTATAGACCGGTGACTTCTTTCTACTATGCCGTTTCCCACCGGCACATAGGCACACCGGAACCGAAGCCGCACACCCCACTTCTTTAAGAACTGCGAGAATTGCTCTGAAGAAAACGCCGCACCATTATCCGTCAATATTTTTGCAGGTGGCCCCCGGTTGTAAAAGATTGACTCCAATTGATGTATTATGCTGGCAGTGTCCTGCCAGTGCAGTAGTCGCCAAATGGTGAAGCGAGAGGGTCCACAGTCAATAATAGTCAAATAGTGCTGGCTGCCAACATGCGTAACATCTATCCCCAGCCTGTTCCAAACATGGGTAGTACTCAAGTTTCCTTTTTGCCATTGCACCGGTGCCAGGTCAATTGACTGGCACGCCTCGCACCTCTGCACTACTGTCCTAACATCTGTCTTTTTGACTGCCGGGTCGACCATCTTTGAGAAGTAGAGCATCCGTTTAATCCCAGGATGCCCACACTGTTCATGTATGCTCATGATCTGCTCAAGGTCCATACTAAGCGCAGAAGCCGTACACGGCAGCTGCAGAGGTTCAGACTCTTTCTGAGCAGCAGCCAACCAACGTTGCAGAATGCGAGTCAACGCATCTGCCCTGTTGACTGCCTATTTAACTAACACTACATTCACAGACAGGTTGTACTCTTTGATAATTTCAATCAGCGTGGTGAGCCGCCTTCATATCAACATCTCACCCGATGCCTTGGTGGTCAATCGCGCTCTTCCGCTAAGTGCATCTGATATCCAATGCTGAGTGCATGCTGAGTCTGTGACGATGTGTAGCACTGTTGCTTGCCATTGGAGCGCCAGGTTAACCCCCTTCAGAGTGGCATCTAGTTCAGCCAGGTTCATGTGTCGTGCATCATTTTCAGGTCGTAACCAGCAGGCATCTTCTATGATGGACCCGTTACCCTCAAGGGCGACACCCATGGCTAACGAGCTGGCATCCACCCAAACGGTGAGCTCATTCCCCTTAATGCACCAGTCACCTCGCATGGGATCGTCATGCATCACTCTCTCCATAGTTTCAGTTATCATGCATCTTAGGGTAACGTTGTGCACCTCATCATCCCATCCTGGTTTAAACAGAAGTTTTTGGCGCTTTTATGGCTGCTGCCGCTACTCTGAGCCAACCGTGATACGGGAAAATGGCCTACCAGTTTCACACACATGGAGAAGGTACTCCGACGAGTGATTACTGGCGGGACTTCCGGGACGTCACTACCTCGCCTCCAGCGAAGTTTTTCTCCATCACTACTGACGTGTAGTCCAAGTACATTCGCTCCATCCTGTAGTGGCTCTGGGGCCTTGCACACCAGACCAAAGCATTCCAGATGTTCCTTAACCCTCGTTGAAGAGGCCACGTTTTCATTGACGTAAACATCATCAATATAGGATGACGTTGCCCTTCGAATTTCCTCATCCTGCAACATGACCACATTCATAATCGCTGACTTGATTTTTAGAGCCACATTAAGACCAAATCCCAATCGAGTGAGGCAATATCTCTGTCCTTTTACCATGACAGTCTGAAAGGGCCAGAGTGAATGGTGGACTCGGACTTGGAGGTAGGCCCTTCTTAAATCGAGAGTGGCCACATTGCTCCCTTGCTGTCGCCATTCCTGCAATTTCTGGGAACAAATGTCCGCGTTGGCTGTATATGCATCTACAAAGGTATTCAATTCCCTGTAGTCCATGACCGGTCTCACTTTCCCCTTATTCTCTTGCACTATTGCCATCAACAGAATCAGTCCTCGAGGCGGCCCTAACTCCTCCTCGGAGTACGGCGCAAGCCAGCCGTTTGCTATACAAAGCTGCAATTCATTTTCGTATTTGCTCCTGATATGCTCTGGAACTGGGTACTCTGCTATTTTAGTTTTCAATGGCGTGGGCGTTTGTCCACCCGCCCACTTCCATGTTGCGGTCCATACACGCCTGAACTGGTCAAAAGTTGCCCTGAAGTCAAGTTCGTTAATCCTCAAGGCAGCACAAATGGGCGGATCAGAAAACTCGACTTTGCCCGCCTCTGTGATGCATACGCCGCCCAGTTCCTTAATAATGTCCATTCCACAGAGCAGATCAAAACCTAATAACGCGCTGTCCACGACCAACATGCTGACTGTAACGGGGTTACCGTTGTTGATAGTGAGTATGATGTTTCCAACTCCCCAGCTTCTGAGAGCTTTTCCATCAGCCGTTAGTCGTCCATCTTTTGTCTGCTCCACTGCCGACAAATCGAACCATTCGTGAGTGACCGAGAGCCAGCAATCTACTAAAGCAGTCTGGCGTTATTCCATTGATGCGCACCTTAATCACAGGGAGTGCCTCTTTCATGCTTGGTGCGGAGAAGAGACCAGCTGACGTCGCATCTCCCATTCTATTTCCCGGACACTTAGAGGCAATGTGACCTACTTTATGACATTGGAAATATCGTAGATCGAAACGTTCCTTTCGCGCCGACCCGCTGCGCATTGCTTTGCGTTGATAGCGGCAGTCTTTGGCAAAATGATTCAGCCCAGAGCACCGATAGCAGATGACATCGCCATGGCGACGGATGGCTGGGGTCGGATCCTCTATGACTTCAATTGGCTGAATGACTGCGGCAACTGGTTCATCAGCCTCTTTTTCATCGATCATGATAGCACGGGCTCTGGTCAACAATTGATTGAGCGTAATGTCTTCCATTCTGGATGATGTATGGAGTATCTGCTTAACATGACTAGGCAAACCAGACACGAAGGCACAGGTCATCCATTCTTCAGGAAGCGGTGCGATCGGTACGGCAAGTTTCTTTAATTCTGCCAAATATACGTCTACTGTCTCGCCAGGTCACAGACGCTGCGCCTGGAATTGGTCATAGGCCACGAACCAGTCAGTTCCAAACGTGGTTAGTAGAGCGTGCTTTATTTGCTCAATGTCACTTTTCTGTTCTTTGCTCAGCTGCCTATACACAGCAAGGGCGCCACCGTTCAATCGCAGTGGAAGAATCTGTTCAATCTTTGTGATCTCACATAATTCGCAGACCAGTTCCACCTTTTCGATCCATTCAACCACAGACTGTCCACTCGTATCACCACTGAATTCGGAGATCAGTTTTATGTCGAACGGTCTTTCCGCCATCTTGCTGGAGTCAAAGTAAACGCCGAAATAGCTTGTGTTGGAATGTGTCACAAAAAAATAAATGATTTCATCTCTTTCTCTCCTGCTGTCATAGCGACAGACACAGTCTCCACTTCTGAGACTGAAAACTACCCTCCTTCTCATTCCAGCCCATTACATAGAGCTTGGTAACTCACCTATGCAAAACACCAACAACCCAGCTACCAATCACAGTTCCCGCACCTGCCCACCTCCACTCGCTTTGGGGGTTTCAAGTTGACCAACCAACTCATTACAAATATTTATATGAGAAATGATTTAGAGGGAAGGTTGATTGATTTGTTTTTATGGCTTAACCTTTTGTGGGTTATTTAAAACCAAATTATATTTAAGATTGCAGGAGTTTACTTATAGTACTCAGTGTTCCCAAGCAGTCCCTATTATAGTACCCAGTGTTCCCAAGCAGTCCCCCAAGACCGGGCTGAACACTGCTTAGCTTTGGCGATCAAATGAGATTCAGTGTAAAAATTTTTAGTTCATTTCTCACCTGTTTGAGCCTTAGACGTTTGATCTCTCATCCATAATACCAGAAAACTAGATATTGTGTAATATTTAGATATATTTTGTTTTTTTTTATGCATTTTATACATCAGCTGAGATGGTAATTAAAAAAAGAAATGTGTTAATCAGAAGGATAAAGTTTTGTTACTGAGTGGATTGAGGAAATTAGGGTGAAATAGAAATATTAAAAAAAAAAAAGAATTTTTGGAAGAAGAGAGAGAAAGAAGAAAGAGAGAGGATTGAGGAGAGGAGATGAAAAGGAGAGAGAAGAGTGAAAGGGGAAGAAAAAAGAGAGAAGAATGCAAGGAGGGGAGAAGAAAACAAGGAGGGAAGAAGAAAACAAGGAGGGGGGAATGAATGAAAGAGGGAAAATGAATGAAAGAGGGAAAATGAATGACAGGAAGAAGAATCAAATGTAAAAGATAGATAAGTATGAGAAATAAAAATACAAAATTAATGTTGAGAGAGAGAGAAAGAGAGAAAAGAAAGATAAGGAGAAAAGGTGAGATTGAGGGAAGAAGAGAAAGGAAGTAGAAAAATGGGGGAGTGATGTAGGAAGAGAGAGAGAGAAAGGAAAAGAAAGAAGTTAGAAAAAGAAACAAAGAGGAAATGGGGACTAATTGTGAATTTCCTATTGAACTTGCACATGTGGACTTTTCTAATAATCGAGTTCTAAAAATGAATTGAATTTCATTGTCTCAGAAGGAAACTATGTTGGTTGTTAATTAATCATTGGTAGCAGAGTTTTCTTCAATGTTAAAGTAACAATCAACATACATTTCTTTGAGAAAAGCCTTTGAGGCAGCAAAATCCAGTTTATTTTTAGAATCTAGCTAAATTGGAAAAGTTCATTTTGTAGGCATGAAGTGAGAAGGTTTCACAAAATAGGCTAATAGAAAATTCACAAATATATCTAGATCAGAACAAAGGTGTGTATCCTTGCTGGTACTTACAACTTTCTCTACAGCCTGTTTGGCTTCAAACTGTGATTTGGCCACTTCAAGCTGGACCCACTTTGGAGCATCTGGGATCATGAAAGCAATTAAGGCTTTCAGAGCTAAAATAAAATGCTGAAATAAAGGGAAAAAAAATGAAAGAAACAAAATGTTGTAATTTTAAAAAAATGCAGCTCAAAAGATTCAAATGTTTGTGTGTGTATATATATATATATATATATATATATATGTGAAAAGTGTATATAAATATAAATAAATATATATATGTATAATTATTTATATATTATATACACAGTACTTATTAGAAAGCGCTCAATATCAGAGATAGAGCTAACATATTTGGTTGGATAGATGTGAGTTTGTGACCCTGGGTTTCACGCTTTAGCAATCGTCAGACAAACTGATTAATGTTTTAAAAATTTGGGTTTATGTAGATTGCGTGTATTGGTGTTATTGTGGAAGTGGTGGGGGAAATTTTGTCGTTTTGTCATTCATCGTACTAACGCAAACATCGATATATGCAGACACATATACATACTTGGTCGTCCGTCGGGACTCATACATATATAAACGTATGTGGGCAGTTTCGGCTATGACACATGTATGTATACGGGTGGTGTTATGTCTATACATACGCATTTGTATGTTGAAATGTTGAAATTTAAACATTGGAAGTGTGGCGGAAATGTCACGTTAGTGACTCGTAACTGTATACATGTCATGTTATGTATTTTTTTTTTTTTTCCGCTGAAAAATATTTCCTCGCATATATGTATATACGTGTGGTGGGGTTTGTGTAAAATTATGATAGGTAAAAATTATTATTATTATTTATATTTATTTTTAAATTTTTGAAAAAAATGGGGGTTTATTTGTTATATTTAAAGCTGGTTATTTGTTTGTTTTTGGTGACTGTGTATATGTAACAGGTAAAAATTTGTAACCCTTATTGTTTAATTTATATGGTGATGTTTAATATACTGGGTGAGAGGGTGGTTCAATTTAATAACGGGTCTATATGATATGATGTGATAGTAATGTTTCAAGGGATTGGAGACAATGATATTTAGCTAATAGTTATTGTAAATTGGAAGAAATTGTAAATTGGTAGAAATGATTAGTAATGGTGGTGGGAGAATGATAAAACCATGAATGTAGTTATAGCGGTGGTAGCTTGAACTAAAAAGTGGTTGTTGGTGTTATTTTATTTTTGTTTTATTTTGTTATATGTATTAATTTATTTTGGTATAAATCCTGATAATAGGTATTCTGTGTAAAATTATGGTAGTTGAAGATTGCTATAATTTTTAATTACAAAATTATTATTGTTATTATATTATATTATTATATTAAAGCTGCCTGGTAATAGGTGTTTGTTCTCATGGTTACATATGGAAATTATATCTGATCATATTGTTTTAAGGTATTAAATATGCTGGGGGAGTAATAAAGATTGTAGTGGATTATATGTTAATAGTGGGTGTGATGTGTAAGTGATGGTGCTGTGTGTTGGTGGTAATGATAATATTGATAGTTAATAGATATTGTAAAGTGGTAAAAGTGATTACTAATGGTGGTGCAATTATAATAATGATAGGTGCAATTATTTTGATGGTATCTTGAAATTAAATTGTGATTGTTGGTGGTTTGTCTGTTTTATCCGTTTGGTATGAATTCGGATAATAGGTACTTGTTCTCATGCCTACATTTGGAGATTATCTCTGATTTTTTGTTTAGCAAGTTCTTTTGCGGTTTGTGTGAACACCCCTTATCAAAATGATTGAATTTTTCCATAACCTTAACAATTTAAAATATAAAGATTGTCCGTGCTTATAAATGAAGTAAATTTCTTAATAGGTTATTCCAAAAATTGTTTGAGAATGGAACGGATCTATGGATTTTAAATTTAATTTTATAATTAAATTTGGATGATAATGTGTGTGTGTGTATGTGTCTAGTGGGTATTGTCTGGTAGTGTCCATATGTTGATTGGAAGGAAATGTTTGGTGTGGATGTTGTAGTGAAAGATTTGGGTTATACCTGCCACAGCTATGCAGATTTTAGATACCCATTTTTTTGTTCTTGTTGCTGCTGTTGGAAGTCTTTAAGTGATGTGGTTTTTGTTATTTGTTAAAGATCTTTGTAATTTTGTTGTGTAAGCCTATATAGGTTCTGATGGAGGATTGTTTACAAATACAAGACAGAAGTCATAGAAAAATCCTTATCAATCATATAAAATAACAAACACATTTATTTTAAACAAAGTATCTGTAAACAAAGAACAAAATTTTTTTTCATTTCTTTTTTGCTATCCTCTGCCAGCCACAATGATGGAGAAGACATTACCTCACACCATTGCTAGTGAGACAATCTGAAAGAGCCACTCCGTTTCGTGAGGCTTGTCCCTTAATCGAGACGCAATCCCACCAACACTCCAAAGGAACACCACTGAATGAGGGCCAATAACTCCAGAAGTCTCCACTGTGACTGGAGTAAAACTAAATCTGTCCACAAGAGAAGAATATTTAACTGTTTGTGACAGACTCCAGCTCAATCACAGACCTGATCAAATTACTGGTTGAAAATGTATCAGCACAGGTCACACCCCAAATCAATGAGTTCTCCACTTGAAAAGGGAAAATGGTAATCCCATCTGGCCACTTTCTATTACCACAATAAAAGCCTACGGGTTCGATTTGAGAAGGAAACCCATATAATCTAGATCTCTTCTGATGATTATGTTTATTCAAGCATGTCTTGGAAATCGGCCAGCACTATGACAACAAGAGAAAGTGTTATGGGACCTTACCCATAATAATAATAATAATAATAATGGACTATTCCATACTTAATAAATACTGTGCCTCAGGAGTAGGCAAGAGTCAGTCAGAAGTTCAAGTCGAGTCAGAGGCAGTCCGAAACAGAGTCGCATTCAGACAATTACTGCAAGACATTGGAATAGTGATACTGGTCGAGACTACATTGTTCTCGCTACTAAACCTGATTGTTCATGCTAACACTCCTACTTCTCTGTATATATTCCTGTTTGTAATATATCTGTGTTATTCCATACCTGTGTTTGCGTTCTTCTTTATTGGTTCTACCTTGGACTATCACTGTGGTACAAGGAATCGGACCATAACAGAAAGGATGCAAACCAAACTCATCAATGGAAGCTCTGCATCTGTGATGCTCACATAATTTGTGCTCAAGACAGATCACGACTGACTTGAGTCCACTCATCATCCAGAAGGGTACCGGTAGATGAGGTGAGCACTGTGTTGAACCAGGCGTCACTACACAGTTGTGAAGTAGATAGACAGGTGAGGTGGTGCTGTTCCAGAGAGAGCCTCAAATTAATAAAATTGGCCTTGCATTATATTTTATCCCATCTGTTTTGATGTGTCAGGATAGAAAGTAATTCTTGGGCCCAGATGCTGCATGCTTGTTTGAAATTAATCTCTTCCTCCACAACAATATTTTTATGCAATATTAAACAGTAGTAATGTCTTTCTTGACTTTTCATCATCAATGGACAAATAAAAATAAAATGATTAAAAAAAACAAAACCCCCACAAAAACCTTATTTTTTACAGTCAATCATAATAACATTGATAATAAACCTAATTTTCGAATAACTTTCTGAAAATTGTGGATAAACTGCCTGAAGTTTATGTAGTGTTATTATCTTCTTTAAGAACTTTTGTGCATATTTATTTCTTTACACACACATATAGCATACACAGCAAAAGAAGTTTTAGCTTTACAGATGGAGAGAAAATATAACAACATCAAATTCCAATAGAAAAAAAGGAAGAAAAAAAAAGGAGAGAGAGAAAAGAGAGAGAGAAAAAAAGAGAGAAAAAAAAAAAAAAGAGAGAAAAGAGAGAAAAAAAGAGAAAAAAAGAGAGAAAAAGAGAAAAAAAAGAGAAAAAAAAAGAAAAAAAAGAGAAAAAAAGAGAGAAAAAAAAGAGAGAAAAAAGAGAAAAAAAAGAAAAAAGAGAAAAAAAGAAAAAAAAAAAAGAAAAAAGAGAAAAAAAGAGAAAAAGAGAAAAAAGAGAAAAAAAAGAGAAAAAAGAGAGAAAAAAAGAGAGAGAAAAAAGAGAGAAAAAAAGAGAAAAAAAGAGAGAAAAAAGAGAAAAAAAGAGAAAAAAAAGAGAGAAAAAAGAGAGAAAAAAAGAGAAAAAGAGAAAAAAAGAGAGAAAAAAAAAATGGAGAGAAAAAAAGAGAAAAAAAAGTGGAGAGAAAATATGACAACACCGAATTCCAAAAAAAAAAAAAAAAAAAAAAAACTTAATTTACCTCTAAGACCACTACAATAAGGACAAGTTGAACAGGTGTTTGATGTCCTGGTAAGAGTTTCTGCACTTCGGGGTTCATCCCAATCAAAGCACAATTTGTGATGACAGCAACGAAGTCCATTAACTCAAACATTGCCTGTAATTCGAGAAAGAAAACATTAAAAATAAAACAGAAATATAATAGTAATTTCGAATGTCTGATACAATCATAATTCATAAAAAAAAAGAAAAAGAAAAGTGTCATTAGAGTGAGTAACTAGGAGCAGGTAATTTCTCTGACCAAACTCCAAGAGTTATCTACCCTTATACAAATATTTGCTACTGACCTGGCTTTGCAGAAGATTACTAGCTTACTATCATTAATACAAACAATCATGAATGAAGCAATCCTGAGAGAATTAGAAGTCGTATCAGTGTTCATTATCAGCAGTCACAATTAGATATACAGATAACAATGTAATATTGATAGCAGACAGAGAAAGGAAACTACAGGAAAACTATTACAGAAGATAGTAAAGGAAAGCAAGAAGAAAGGACTAAACATCAATTGTAAGAAGACAGAATGTACAGAAAAAGAAATATATGAATTACAAATTGAAGATAACAAAATTAAACAAGTGGAAAAATGTAAATATCTAGGAAGTGTTTTAACAGAGGATGGAAAATGAAGCACTGAAATCCAAAGGTACGTTAGGATAACAAAAGATGCCTTCCAAAAAGTAAGCAAATTATTAAGAAACATGAAAATTTCATTGGAAACAAAGAAAAGTGTACTGAACTGTTATGTAATATCAGTCCTCCTATATAGCAGTGTTTTGTGACGTACGGTGGCTGTTAATTATTAAGTATAACTTCGATGTTAAATAAAACAGTATTTAATTACAACCACAAATAAAAACTTAAGAACCAAGAAATAAAAGTCAACCAAAGATAATTAACCATTTCAGTGAATACCTTGTTAGTAATGTGGCTTGGCTTAACATCCAGTAAATTCTAAATCAAAAACCCAATGTATCTATGCATAATATTTCACACTGATTTGACTGGATATTTCCACCCAATAATCACTTCAGTCAGTAGCCTCACACCGCTATTTATACATCAGGCAGAAAACATATATTCATAAGTCCAGAGTGTCACGCTCGAACCTTGGTGTCAGTAGTTACTCATTTTCTTCCTATATGCTAAACAATCTCCTTGAGGCAACAGAAATGTAGTTCTTCAGAAGGATGCTGAGAATACCATGGACTGAACACTTGAGCAACAACAAAGTTTTAGAGAAATCGAAACAAAAGGACACATATGTAGCATCAGAAAGAGAAAGTTGAAATTTCTATGGAACATAAAGAGGAAAGAAGGCTTGGAAAATTTGACACTCACAGGACATATAGAAGGCAAGAGGGACAGAAGAAAGCAATTTAATGAGTTTGTGTAAAGGTTTGGCACAACAGGGATTAGGAGAGATAGAAAAAAGACAAAATTTATTAGAGTTATGTTATATACCATAACTATGAACACTAATGCATATGTCCCAATCCTCATACGTTGGACACTATTGTAAGTGGGGGTAATATGCTGTCTAAGTAGTCTACCACTAGCAATGGTTTACCTACTTCACGCCGATGGCGAGTATTGTATTTTGTTAATGTTATAAAGATTAGCATTTCATTTCCAATCTCCATTTTGGTTATTCCTTATTCAGTAACCTTTTCTATGTTACAACCCATTAGAAGACTTCATATGCACCATCAAGATGAAGTTAAAATGGTATGGAAACTGTTATATAATGTACATATGGACACTAATGGGTATGTCCCAATCCTCAAATACATTGGACACTACTGTAAGTGGGGGTAATATGCTAAGTAGTCCACCACTAGCAATGGTTTACCTACTTCATGCCGCTGGCAAGTATTGTATTTTGTTGATGTTATAAAGATTACCATTTCATTTACAACTTCTGTTTTGATTATTAATCATTCAGTAACCCTTTCTAGGTTACAAGGTACAGCAAATTATTAGGTTGGAGAGTCTATTAACTATAGAATAGGTGTGTTTCACCATAACAGGTTTAAATCTGATGAGCATAAGGTCCCACAGAGCACTTGGAAGCCAACCAATTATTTCTGGAACTAGTTTCATGTCACTTGCACATAATTGACAGGGGGTTATATTACCTTGCTGAAACAATCACTACCTGGGAATTTTATCAAGCAAAAAGAGGTACAAATGGTTTGCAACAAGGTCTGTGTATGCCCCACCTGTCAAAAAACACTTTGTGAATTCAAACAAAAAACACTAACAGGAGTTACTTGAACTTGAGAAGATTCTTCAACTGTAAGTCATGTCCCGATATTAAAACCTCTTTTATTTATATACAGACTTATACATGAAACATTGCTCAAGTGAACCACCTCACTCTAGCTGTTACTGAACATGCCGAATTTCCCTTAAATACATGTCATAGTTCAAGTTACCTGAAATCGAAAATGTCCAACTATGAGCAGTGTCCTGACATTAAAACCACTTTCATTTCAATACAACCTATACAGACTTAAACAGCAGACCCAAAAGTGCAACCCTCATAAAAGTGTTACCTCCTGGCTGATGGTCACTCTCATTGTCACCCCTTCTAGCTACGCAAAAATTATTATATGCCCTGGATTCATTCATAGATTTCACATTTGTCAACAATGATAAAATACCCTTGAATACATCACTGGATAATGTTAAAACCACATTTATTTCAAAACAGCTGATACAGGCTTAAACAGCAGACCAAAAGTACTGCCTCCATAAAAGTGTCTTTTGGGTGACACCCCCACCTACCCCTCTAGCTATGCTACTGAATGTGACTCATTTTCCTTGGGAGATTTTTCAAACCTCAAAACAGAAAATAAACAGTCAAAAAATCCCCTAACCTTGCTTGACTACACACAGACATATCTAATAATTTCACCAACTAAAGTCTACTTCAACTCTATACTACTAACATCTCCACCTAAACTCTGAAATTTTATTTACTATTTATTTACTTTTTTTCTCTCCTTCAATAGAAAAAGATAGGCTCACATACAGCCCGGTTCAGACTCGTCTTTTGAACAGGAGTAGAGGTTTTCTGTTTAAGATTAGGTTTCTGGTTACTTCTAAAGTCTTTACCTTCCCTTTCACTTCCTCTTGCATCTTAGTGTCATTGTTGCCTTGCTTGGGATGAATTGATAAAAAAAAAAAAAAAAAAAAAAGCTGAAAAACACGCTATTATAGAGCCACCATCAGAAATTTTCTTTTGAAACTTTATATATTGTTTCTAGATTCACCATTATCTGGAAATCATCAATGCTTACCTGCCATGCACCTATGCTCGAAGCAGATCTGGGAAAAGGCCGCATGAAGACATTGCACATTTTGAAGGCATCTGTTCGTATTTCAAATATATTATTGACAAGAGCCCAGAAGGCAGCCAATGGGTAGACTGAAGAGAAAAGATAGATGTAACCAAACTGAAGAAACATCTCTAGATGATCATCAAGAGTCACCTGCAAGTAGAAATTTAAATCATCAACATTTTTCTGGCAATGTTTAACCTACATGGCTATAAAAAAAAAAAAACGGGTGTGTCAAAAGGACAATCCCTGACTCAGGTAGTGTGCACTTAAACTCAGTGGAAACAGCACAAGCAATAACTGAGCATTATGAAATAAAAACTAGATGAGATACTGCTAGACATGGGCATAGACATATTTAATCTACCCTTGTAGATTAAATAAAGAGTTTAGTTTGAAATTCTGTGTAGGTTACTTGGATCAACATACATTCAATGAAAGCCATATGGCACAATGGATGAAATGTTGTGATAACATCAACAAAGATATGGACAATAGTTCACATGTAAATATATATATATTTTTTTTTTTATCTTGTAGGGGGCACCATGTGTACTGCAGCCATAGTAGAAGTGGTGTTTCTTGGGCAAGATAGCCTGATGGAGTACAAATCCTCTCCAGGCTGGTTTTGAATTCAGAATTTTTCTTTCTCCTAGACCAGTTGCCACCCAAGGCTATAGAACTCAGTCTATCCCACTATTTAACTATAGCTGGAAGGAGAAGAGGAGGATTAATACCTTTCCCAAGGGCATTAGCATGTAAGTGAATTGAACGGATTCAACTGGAATAAACCACAACATTCCACACACACAAACACAATTAGTTTAAAAAAAAAAAAAAAAAAAAATTAACTTAACACCAATAAATAGCACATAAATTATTTTTAAATTTAGTATAAAAATACTGAAAATGAGAAAATCCCCAATCAATTGTTGAAACCTGACAAGTGGACTGAATGATTGCAAAAAAAACACACCCAATGATGTTATGGCTGCTGTACATGTGGTACCCTAATGATTCTAATGGGTTATGCAAACAGTATATGATACCAAAGGGTAGGACAACCAGTCTAGAAGAAAAACTGTTCAAAACCAGTCTGAAGAGGGATGGGCTCCGTCTGGTCATCTTTCCTAAGACACACCCAATGATGTTATGACACCAATGAGTAGGGCAACCAGCCTAGAAGAAAAACTGAATTCAAAAACAGCCTGAATATCTTGCCCAAGACACACCCAATGATGTTATTGCTGCAGTACATGTAGTACTCTAATGATTCTAATGGGTTATGCAAACACTATATGACAACAATGGTTAGAGAAATCAGTCTAGAAGAAAAACTGAATTCAAAACAAGCCTGAACAGGAAAGAACTCATTCAAGCAACTATGCCCTAGACACACCCATTGCTGCTATGGCTACAGTACGTAGTGACCCAATGACTAATAGGTTACAAGTCTCAGGATTTAAGCAGGAAAACTAAGATAAAATTACAGAAAAATAAAAGATTTAAAAAAGATAAAAAGATGAAAAATAAAAGATTAGATAAAAATATTTTTCACACCATGACAAAAAAGAATTTATATTTATTGTAATTGCCTCCCACCCAGGGTCTTATTTTCTGGAGTCTACTCAAGAAATAAACAAGTCATAAATTTTACTTATTTAAGGTCCCGAAAGGATGCTAGCAATTTGGATATGACAGTTGGAAGTAATAAAGTGTTTCTTTTTAGTGAAAAGTTGATAGTTCTTGACTTAATAAGGGAAGAAGAAAAATCCTATGCTGATGTTGCTAAGATCTACAATAAAAGCTATTCTTCTGCTTATCAAATAACTTTTATTACAGCATATTTAAACCTTAACCAAAGGGAAGATAGATTCATGCCTTTTCTTAATACACTTTTGTGAAGTGAATAAAAATGGAATTGATCAGAATTTGAACCTGGCTTGCTCATTCCAAATTTCAGGCACCAATAATCGTCATGTTATGTGCACATTCAAAATAAAACTATTACTGATTATATATTACAACTAAAAATTATATATATGTTATATACCATACCTATGAACCCTAATGGATATATTCCAATCCTCATAAATACGTTGAACACTACTGTAAGTGGGGGTAATATGCTAAGTAGTTCACCATTAGCAGTGGTTTACCTACTTCATGCCGCTGGCGAGTATTGTATTTTGTTGATGTTATAAAGATTAACATTTCATTTCCAACCTCTGTTTCGGTTATTTCTCATTCAGTAACCCTTCCTAGGTTACCACAATATATTATAGGATTAATACAAATATAAAGTTTCTGTTTTATTTTGACTTATTGCGGCTAATATTTTTATTGTGCTCAATTTATAAATTAAAATTTGCATGTTGAGGAACAAAACATTATATGTAAGGTTTAGTATTGTACTTGGTTTCAAGCATGTGCTTGGGGCTTTGCACTTTATTGCTTCTTGATCTTTAGACAGGGATCAAAGTATGGTATCTGTTCTCCTCATTTTAGATGAGAGCAGGTGCCTGGTTCCAGCAATTCCAGCCCTGCAGCAGCACCTTTCTCATTGTGCTAAGAGAGGTGGGGTTAGTGTAATATTGACACCAGCATGACAATTTTTGTCTTTGGCCCATGTGTATGGGCTTCCCATATAAAAACGACCATGTGTTACATCCTGCCTTAGTGGGGAGGTCAGATAAATAAAATCTGCTTGAGGTCTTGGAACATATTACCTGTAAATAAGAGGGGATTATTATATTGTTCCTTTTAGAAAGTGTACAAACAATCTTAGAGTTAACATGAATTTGATTGGTTTTTAGGATTTTTTATTAGCCAATCAAAACAACTATAATAAAAGTAGTTTCTCAACTAACACATGGATCCATGATCATTTCAATATTGGCTTTCTTTCGAAGTTCAATGGAGACATCGGTTTCTGGAGTGTCGTCAACTCTTTGCTCTTTGGAATAGGCTACAATCATTTTGGCTACTTTCTTGGCACGGTTGCGATGTAACAAAAACGGTACCACTGTTTCCTGAAGCTGGTCAACAACTTGTTGTGTAATGAGTAAAGCTACTAAATCCTGCAATGAAAAACAAAATAGATGGAAGAATGGTAATAAAAATAAGAAATTATCAACTTTGGAATCAATTTAAAGATTAGAAATGGAATTGTTGGAAGGAGAGAAAAGGCCAATATATATATATAGATATATATATATAAAAACAAAATAAAAAAGACAATGAGTTTCAAAGAAACTTTTATAAATGAACAGTAAAAAATACAAAAATACTGGTCATGAAAAGTCTAAAATAATCTTATAACATTGAAAAGAGAATGTATGTTCTGTATTTGATAGAAATTCAGAGTTCTTTCTAGAATATTCCTGATTTTACTGCTTACTCTTAAACTTAGCCACAACAAGAAAGAACTTTTAACTCTTGGGTAATATTTCCTCTTCAATCAAGGTCAGCACATTAACCCCCAAATAAGGTGAGTGGTTGTTTTTGTTTAGCAGCATGTTAACCACTATGGGTTATTTAATAATAATGGTTTTGGTGATACAAGTCTTACTAATTAACCCATAGTTGGATGGAAGAGCTGGATTCATACCTTTCCCAAGAATATTTGTGTGTTAAGTGAATATAACAAACCCAACTGGAATTGGAACTCAGCTCTCTGATTAAAAATTCCAAGCAATTATACATTACACCATCCAAACATCCAAGCTTACAGCCCTTGGAATTCCCAACCAGTAGTCCATCTAGGTACTAACCCAGCTCAATGTTGCTTAACTTCAGCAATTGTACAGGAACTAATGTAATTAGGGGATGACACTTTCTATTCACTCGATACCAGCACACTGCTTCTAAATATGGTGCGGATGACACTTTCTATTCACTTGATATCAGCACACAGCCAGTAAATACTGTGTGAATGACACTTTCTATTCACTTGATATCATCACACTGCCTTTAAATACCATGCAGATGACACTTTCTATTCACTTGATATCATCACACTGCCTTTAAATACCATGCAGATGACACTTTCTATTCACTTGATATCATCACACTGCCTTTAAATACCATGCAGATGACACTTTCTATTCACTTGATATCATCACACTGCCTTTAAATACCATGCAGATGACACTTTCTATTCACTTGATATCATCACAGACTCTAAATATGGTGCAGATGACCCTTTCTATTTCTTCTGAAGTATCTCAAGATCTGTAGTTAAATATAACAGTTAAAATGAGTTTCATGTTCTATAGACAAAACACTTTCTACAATGATTTGTCCTACATACAAATGGAAGGTGTAAACAAATCTATATATCAAACTTATAGTGGATAACTGAATGACAAAATGAAAATGAAAAACTCAATATAAAAATCATTATAACTACCTCACAAACAATAAGAGATTTAATTAACACAAAATAAAATAACTTTAAGCTTGAAGCAAGAATTTACAAACTAGACAGCAAAAATTTGTAATAGACAATTGAAACATCTAAGAATTTATATAAAAAAATTATATCTACACAAAAGGGATCTTTACATTCAAAGAATTACTGATTCATTATAATATTAAAGACTAAGTAAAGATTAAAGAATGCAGTTTTATCTAAAGGAGAAAATAATTTATTAAACTGATAATGTATAAAAGTGGCTCTAATTTCAGAATCTTCTATAACCTGAATCATACATTATTTTTCTAAAATCTAAAATTGCTGTAGTTTCAAGACTTGGATTTCTGTTGTTTATTCATCGTTGATCCTAGATCACAATTATTAAAAAAAATTAGAAAATTAAAACAAGGACTAATCTGAAATATAAAATTTCAGAAGATAAGGCATTATATCTGGAAAATCAATTTATTTAAATTTTCTTGTTCTATAGCTCCATGATATTTTTTAAAAGTTTTCATTCTCAAAAAAATTGTTAATGCAATATTCACTCATTAAAAAAGAAAAAAAAATTCTTATAATCCAAAACTATATTTTGGCTTTAAATAACACAATAAGCATTAATAAGTCATAAAAAAAATGAATCAATGCCCCTAATATCCAAAACAGTAACTACAGGATGCCCCAGGAAAAAAACAACAAAAAAAAAAAAACAAGAAATTTTAGATTTACTATATGATGAAAAAAAAATTAACATATAAAAAAAATTTTAATTTTTAGTTTGAACATCTAACTTTTGTGTTTTTGTTCTGTTTTAAGCTACTAAAATTCTATCTTTTGCTTTTGTTTCAAATAACAGTAACAAAAATTCAAACAATTAAATAAAATGTACCAAATTTCCAGTTTTTTTTTTGTTGGGCACCCGTAGAATCATTCAAAGGGCAAATAACTCTCTTGAAACTAGTTAAGATTAATGTACTATTGAGTTAAAGACAAAAAGGAAGTGCAATAACTTACACTACGTAACAAAGCCATGTCTTGAAGGTAAAAGGCATTGTAGAAAAGAGACATGAAGCAGTTGACAAAGTTGAACTGAAAAAACAAAAATAAATAAGTGAATAAAAAATTATTATTTTTTTTTTAAAATTATTTCTCAAAATTAAAATAGAAAGATTCTTTCAGTCCTGATATTAATACTTTTATTATTTGGGTTGATGACATTTTGCAGATTGTGTAATGGACATCAGCACAGATGATGAAATCAGCAAGTCAAATGTAAATTCCAGGCTAGTCAGTTGTGTTCACTTTTGCATTACTACACTTAGAAAAGGGATGGATCTCTTCTTCTTTTATATGATATAGCAGTGTAGAATAGACTCTATTCTTGGGTAGCAACCAATCCAAGAGAAGGAAAAATCTAAATTCCAAACTATGGAGAAGCCAATGGGAAACCACTCCACTATCTTTCCTCAAAATGCCTGGCAATTCATAGATACCAAAAAAGTAAATTAAAAAAAAGTGTTACATCTTGTTTTTGGTTTTATGAGATAATGTAACAAAGAAAAGAGTACTGAACTGTTATGTAATATCAGTTCTATATGCTGGACAATGATGAGGATAAGACTTGAGGCAACAGAAATATGGTTCTACAGGAGGATGCTGAAGATACCATGGACTGAACATGTAAACAACGACAAAGTTTTAGAGAAAATGGAAACAAAAAGGACATTTATATGTCTCATTCTGAATACACACACACACACACATATATATATATGTGTGTGTGCGTGTGCGTATGTATGTATAACTGTTTAACAGGACAGCTAGCCAATCCCTATTGCAGATGCTTGCTCAGGTACATTTTGTGTTTGTTCAACACCCACAGAGCCAGCCAGTGGTTTATAATGCAACTATGCTGAGCAGACCTTAGTTACAGTTTCTGGGAAATAGTGTGTTATCTAGCATGATCAACAATTTGAACAAGCCCAGAACGCTCAATCCCTCGGCCACAATGATTCGGGACTTTGTGCTAGCACAGCTATTGATGGCACACAAGGCTTCCGTCTACCCAATTTTGCTCACAATGCTTGTGTCAACCCATGGTATGGTTTTCGGGCATTTTCCAAAGGTCCAAATCGACCCCTCCAGTCTGATAATATCAGAAAGTCTCCTTCCTGACAAATCAACCATGGTGAGTTGAACCTGGGTCTCATGGTCAGAATGCAAACATTCTAACCACTCAGCCACGTGCCCATATATATGTTATTCGCAGACAGTACTGTTTCACTGTATCACAGCTCCTCAGTATGACTAGACATTGGAATGCCTCAAACCAGGATTGAAACCCAACTGATTTGGTCAGAGTTTCTACCACTGAGCTATCATCATTCGATAGAATGGAACATCTAAATCTAGCATATTGTTTTTACGAATGTAAACAAATGCCAATCAGCCATAGGGGCATATATATATATATATATATATGTGTGTGTGTGTGTCTATGTGTGTATGTATGTATATAGCAGCTTACTGTGTGTTATTGTATGAGTGTAAGAAAAGGCATGAGGTTATGTAAAAAAGATAACAGTTAGCTCTAGACTTGAAGAGGTTAAGATTGTAGCAAACTTGTCTGTTTTGTTAAAAAAAAAAAAAAAAAAAAAAAAAAAAAAAAAAATAGTAGTTCTTGAGAAGTTGTTCAAGTGAAACTTACTCCTTACTGATGAAAAACAAAGGGAAGGAGTCCTGGTGGGTCCTAGTTGCAATGGTCAGGGCTGGTGGGACTAAAAATGTAGCTTGTCAGAATACATGCCATGGAAATAGTGATAGAGCAGCAAGAGGCTTGCTACATTTTATCTGTGGGCAAGGGATTTTAGGGTGAAAAATAATTCATCACTTACAAGGCTGCATAGATGCTTTTGAACCATCAAGACAGGCAAGTGAGAACTGGGCAGCTCCAGTCCAGATATGGCAGCCATGCTCTATTTTTGGTTTGATCTAGCTCTTGTAAAGAGAGCATAGTAGGAGGAGTCAGATACTTACTGGAGCAGTACAATGAACTGACCCTTTTTCCAGCATCTTTAGCAATAGATCAGATATATTCATTCCACTTGAGATCTGGGGTGAACTAGAGCAAGTGTGTCAAACTGGTGGCTTGTGGGCTGCATGTGGCCATTTACATGTATCTTGGCAGCTCTCACAAAGGTTTCTATAGCCATAGTATATTGAGAATTTTTGTTGATAGTACTTAGAAGAAGGAGGTACCCAGATTTTTTTCCTATCTTCTTCAGGCATTTAAGAACATCAGAAAGCTTGCTACAAAGATTATGGCTATGTTTGGTTCCACATTTGTCTGTGAGCAGATATTTTTGTTTATGAAGGCTACAAAAACATCTCATAGAACCAGATTAACTGATGAACATTTGTCATCTTTGATCAAAGTGAGATCTACACAGACATTCCAACCTGATATATCAAGAATAGATTATCTAAAGCGATGTCACTCACCAAGACAACATAAAAATGACTAAATTGTACTACCTTGTATCATAAGTAATTTGTATTTAAAGTTTAGTTACCACTAGCTGTGATTAATGTAAGACTGTAAGCAGGTGCAGCCCTCAAGGCTGCAGATATGGCCGATGCGGCCCTCCACATGCCCTGAGTTTGACATGCCTGAGCTAGAGTCCCAAGAGACATTCAAGGCAAGGAGTCTCCTTGAGAGAATATCCATCCATCATGATAGATGAAAGTTTGGGATCTGTTCAGTGATAATTTAATGTCACTAGTTTGTTTTTAAATGTATTGAATTTTAACTGTTTTAGATAAATTATGAAATAAGTAATGAAGTAATCATTCTAAGTAACATAGTTAATCAAAGTAAGTGCTGCATCATTTGATATGTTTAAATATTTCTTACAATGAATCCTGTCAGAGAAACTGTATTTTAACATACTGATATTTTGAAATTGTGAAATGGTATATTTACTTTATTTCTAAGTAAATAAAGAGTATGAATGACATATGTCATAAGAGATTATAAGGTGGATATTATAATATAGGACAAACATAGGTAAACATGCACACAATAAGACAGTGACAAAAGGACAGTTTTTCCCACGATACCACTTTTTTTAACTACCTTCACTCTTTGAAAATGTTTGTTTTAAAAAATGATGATTAGAATTAAATGTATAATGAAAGCGAATTTTATAATTCATTACAATTTATTACAATTCTAACCAACGTTTTTTAAAATCATACTTATTATAAAACCTAGGTTTTGTGTGTGTGTGTGTTCGTTTATATATTGGATCGGATTTCCTACATTTTTCAACCGATTTCAACAAAACTTCACAGGACAACATAAAATTACCAAAATGGTGGTTCTGACAGCATAAAAATTGGAAAAAACACAATTGTTTTTGCATGAAATCAATTTGAAAAGACAATTAAGAGGCATCGCTGTCTCGTGAATGAAAGGGGGACAACTCGTATCAAGTTATACTTATTATAAAAACCCAGGTTGTTTTGTGTGTGTGTGTGTGCGTTCGTTTATATATGGGATCGGATTTCCTACATTTTTCAACCGATTTCAACAAAACTTCACTTTTTTTTGGCAGGTAGTGTTTCTTATTGTCTTGCATACTTTTTTCTTTATTTTTACATTCAGAATGCTTTAAAAATTCCATTTACAAGACAATTGTTTATAATAAAATTTTATTCAATCGGTAGACTCATAACGATTGAAAACAATGTTTTTTTTCAGTTTGGGTTTGACCAATTCGTAAAAAAAAAAAAAAAAAAAAAAACTAATTAAGACATGTGTGTCCGTCAACCTTAAACAATAATCTTTGTCAATTTTATTTTTCAGTCTTTATGATGGTGGATACTTGATCTATCTCTTACTATTACATCCCCGGGCAACGCCGGGCTCTACAGCTAGTGATAAATATTGCCAAAAGTGAAAGTAGTTAAAAAAGTGGTGTTATATAAAAAAAAAATGTGGTCTTTTGACATTTGGTTTTATTGTAGGCATGTTTATCCATATTTGCCATGAATAGATTATATGACATTACAATGTCACAAAATCATAATATAAATGACATAATAAACCAAAATTGTAGGTTTTTTGAAAAAAAAATTCTTTTGTTGCAAACTTATTTCCTTAACCCAAATAGAAATAAAAGCTAACTCACCAAAACCATTTTAACGATCAGATGATTATCATATGAAGACTGCAATCGGTGATTCTCTGCAGAAATAAAACACTAATTATTAGATTATCTCATTTATATAATGCATGACAAACATCTTTATATAAAAATTGTTAACTGACAAAAATAATTTCAGCATTCATATGGAATCTAAATATTTCTTGACAGTAACCCAGAATTTGTACTAAAATACAATTCAATGCATCCTATAGCACAGGGGTCAGCAACCTTTTGCTAACTATGTGCCAACTTAGGGTTTTAAAATCATTCAGTGTACCAACAGCATACGTATTTTTATACAAGGTCAATATACTTATTCTGCAATATATCTTATATAGTAAAATATATAATAATATATAAACCACATTAATCAAAATAAAATGTTTTTAAAAGTTTTTTTTTAACTTTTTATTATTAATGGGAGTCTGAGTGAGCAGTTTTGAAACAGTTAAATATCTTCTTTGCATTGAAGTAGTTACTGGTTAGAACTTCATGATGTCATTTGCAGCTGCATGCCATTGGAAATTGCTTGCCATGCGTGCCATTGAAAATTGCTTGGCATGCCGTGCGTGCCGTGCGTGCCATTGAAAAATGGCTTGGCTTGGCGTGCCGTGCGTGCCATTGAAAAATGGCTTGGCTTGGCGTGCCGTGCGTGCCATTGAAAAATGGCTTGGCGTGCCATGCGTGCCATTGAAAAATGGCTTTGCTTGCCGTGCGTGCCATTGAAAATTTTGCTTGCCGTGCGTGCCATTGAAAAATTTGCTTGGCGTGCCATGTGTGCCATTGAAAAATTGCTTGGCATGCCATTGAAAAATTGCTTGGCGTGCCATGTGTGCCATTGAAAATTGCTTGGCATGCCATGTGCGGCACATGTGCTGTAGGCTGCCAACTCCTGCTATTGCATGCATCTCAAATAACCTCTGACAACTAAGTCCAACTACAAGCAAGAGAAGAGACAAAAGCGGATAATTGGCACCTCCAGCTCCAGGGTAGATGGAGTTTGTCAGTTCAGCAAAGCAGTCTATCTAGAGGAAGAGAAATCTTAATTTTAAATCTCCTCTACCATGTGGCCATATCCAATCAGGGAAAGTCTACAGAAGTAAATCAAGACAGAACATCCAGATGGGAGCCCTGAAGGCATTTGGCTGTCAATTATAACAAACTTCTTAAAACTCCTGCTACCAAGCTAGCCACAAATGTAATGTGCTGTATTCCTCTGGATCATGTCAGTATGCCCGAGAGGAGGGTAATGGGATCTGGTCAGCACACAGACTCCATTCTGGAAAAGCCTCTCCAGTCTCGCAACCAAAGGATTGAATTTTAACCAAACAGGGTGCTATCATTATCTTGCAAGATAAACAGATGCCTACTACTCTCATGGTTCATATTTTTAACCAATCAGTAAAATCTAGTTTTTTTTATACACATTTTCCAAGTTATCAGTTGAATATTTCTAAAATTTATAATATACATTCAAAATAAATATTATTTTTTTAATAAAAGAAAAGGTGGATTTTAAGCCATAGCTATGGTTTCTCTCACATACAAGCAACTAAATCTCATTTACAAGGCTTGGGTCAATCTATAGTATGGTTTTCAGGAATTTTCAATGATGCCACACGTAATTGCCTTCCCAGTTTGATATTATCAAGAAGTCATGTCTTTGATAAATCAGCTATGGTGAGATTCAAACCCGAGTCTCATGGCTAATACACTAACCATTCAAGTTACTAACCCACAAAAATGTTAGATTTTAAGCATTAGCTATATTTCATCTCAAACAGTTGACTATTTTATCATTAGCATTTACAACATTCAACATATATTGCTTACATGTAGAGCTACATTGCAAAATCTATTTAACAGAACATTTAGAGCTACACTGCAAAAACTATTTAACAAAACATTTAGAGCTACACTGCAAAAACTATTTAACAGAACATTTAGAACTACACTGCAAAAACTATTTAACAGAACATTTAGAACTACACTGCAAAAACTATTTAACATTTAGAGCTACACTGCAAAATCTATTTAACAGAACATTTAGAGCTACATTGAAAAATCTATTAAACACAATACATAGAGCTACATTGCAAAATCAATCTATGTTTATAACAGATGCAAAGTAATTAGAAAATAAAAGTTAAGTACTTATTACATACCCATGTTGTTTAGTTTTCGAATAAGTTTGTTATAAATAATATTCATAACACATACAGCAACTGCATATAATACACTTGGGAAGGCCATCATGTTGGCGTAGTTTAGATAGGATGGATCCTTTTCATAGAGTGCATTTGCCCATTCTTGCATTTGAAAATATAATAACATGGCTTCAAAAGCAATCACCAGACAGAAACAAATAACTGGTACTGTGATGCCATAGAATCGAATACGTTGCTTCCATTTTGGATAGATAGGTTCTTTCCGTCCTGTGACAGAATTTATTCCCAGTCTACCATGATAACTTGGACGAGGCTCTTCAAATTCTTTAACCATGTTGATTGTCCCCCATCGAAATGAGAGTTCTGAGCAGTAGCGTTTCCAGCATTCAAGGAAGATGGTTGTCCAGACCAGATTGAAAACAGCAAATATAGCTTCACGGTAAATATTTTTCCAACTCGTGATGAAATAGATGATGCCTATGAAGGCTGGAGGAATCAAAGACACTGTGTAGACCCCAAGGAAGGCGAAGTAGAGAGCAATCTTTTCTCCAAAATAATCTCGAATCTGGTCTAAGGATAAAAAGGAAAGAACGAAAAAAAAAAGTAAAGAAAAAAAGCAGATAAATTATTCAAATATATAAAAAGGTTTGTTACATAGTTTTTCCTTTCATCTTATTTATGCTATAACTGTTACAAGAAAAAGGCATGAATCCATTTCCCTAGTAAGTAAGTTCAGGACATATTGAAGAGGGACAAAAAGCAAAAAAAACAATGCGTAACCTACATAGCAAGCTAGAGTAAATGGATGGCAGAATAAGGTTTAGGAGAGTGTAGCTTAAATGAGTCTATTACTCGAACATCACTCGTATAATTCAAAATACTGCTGGTTCAATCCACTGTTCTTGCTTTCCACACACTTCAAAATATAAATCTGTTTTCCTTTCTCACTGCTTCAGCCCTCTTTTATCAGGCCAACGCTGTGGTCGATCAACCAATCAGCGTTCTTCACTTTTATTCTCAGTTACCCAGGTAAATAGCTTCCTTCAGTTCAACCAATCAGAACACGACTTGCTATTGGTTGAAGCATGCCAAATTGTACAAAAACCCTCATTACCACACGTACTGCTGAGTAATGCCATTTTCAAGGAGCAAAATTGCTGATGCCACGTGCCGCACCTTGAGGTAAGGAACTTATTTTCCTTTGCACCAGATACAAGCCAATCTGGCTCCCTTGCTTCTACAGGACTGTTCACCACAGAGAGATAACCGAAAGACAAAATTTATTAAGAGATACAAAAGACAGGAAATTGTGCAGAGCCATGATTGCCAACATCCTGAAAGGACACAGCACATAGGTCAGAAACTATCTCTAGTGCAGCCTAGTCTATGTATCCTTCAGAAAGGCAAGAATCCATCTCTTTTCTATTCACTACCAGCTATTGATTAAATAATAGGGTAAACTAAACTCTCTTGCCTTGGCTGAGATCCAGTGAAAGAAAATTATGAATTCCAAACTGTGGTGGTAAAGACAACAGGAAATCACTTAACTATTTTTGCCAAGAAGTCTTTGTAATTTACAGATAAAAGACAAAAGAAATTTGTAGAGAACCATGATAACCTATGTCCTGAAAGGAATGCTTTCCTAAAGTACCTTGTGTGATACACGCTTGGAGTGATCATGTCTCTTACTGACTTGGCAGAAGAATTCCTGCAGTAGGTTACCATTACATTTTGTGGTAGACAGGTTGCCAACTAAATCTAAAGAACCCAGTTTGTACCATTATTTAACCCATAGCTGAAAGGATATGACATTAAAAAATAAATTCTTATTTTTGTCACAATCTTTAAGATGTCCTCTAAGGAGTTGCATATAATGGAGAACTATCAGTATATCAGTCTGTCGCATTCATATGTCCTCTATTTACCTTTCCATTGTGTTTCTGTTTTCAGATAGTTCACGAAAAAGCTTTGAGAAATTCTTGGTCCTGGAGATTCAAACTCTGGCAGTACCTCTCCCATTGCACTAAAGAGAGATGGTTACTGAAATACTGACATCAGCATGACAGTAGTCATAGGGACTTGGCAATTTTAGTCCTGGGCCTATGTGTACACACGTATATGAGCATCCCCTCATTTAAAAGACTGTGTGTCATATCCCACCACATGGGGGAGGGCAATAAGTAATTCCATCAGTACTCCAAGCAGAAAATGTTATATACTCTAGAAAAAGATAAGAACAAAATTAAAGAACAGAAAATATAATATTGATTCCCAAGTGTTAACCAATATGTAGACAATTCTAATTATAATTTCTTAAACCACTAGATATTGCAAGCAAGATATTAACTTCAATTATGGATTACCGTCATGATTTATTTTTTCTATTCACTGATTCATGAAATTAAAGGCACTGACCACAACAAATAGACCACTCTTCTACAGTAGACAACATCTGATGTGTTACCTGTCATTAATTAAATATAAACTGATTACAGACATTCAGCTGAATAACGGTTGTTAGATTTGACCCCCAAAAGAGGAGACCTGTTATTACACTTGATATAGTCCAGTAAGCACAACTTATATAGCAAAAAGAGGAAAAAAAAAAAAAAAAAAAAAAAAAAAAAAAAAAAAAAAAAAAAAAAAAAAAAAAAAAAAAAAAAAAAAAAAAACGATAAAACAGGTTGTACCTTTAAAATATATAAAGATATTATCTCTCTTGTGATTTAGCGTTTGAATTTTTATTGATGTTTTCATTACAGACTGAAGGGTTTAAAAGCTCTCAAGAATAGTGTTTGTATTATTAAAGATTATATAGGGAACCATTTTGTTTGTCTGTATTATAAAGATTATATAGGGAACCATTTTGTTTGTCTGTATTATAAAGATTATATAGGGAACCATTTTGTTTGTCTGTATTATAAAGATTATATAGGGAACCATTTTGTTTGTCTGTATTATAAAGATTATATAGGGAACCATTTTGTTACAAAATCAATGTATTTTTTTTATTTATAATATGGCAATGAGATACAAGTGTGAATGCTGTGAGGTATAAACATACTTCATGGAATTTAGTTTGTTTTACAGTATATCAACCCATTGGTTCATTTAATACTAAAAATTAATGTTTTTTTTTAAATAAAGTCTTGTATTTAAAAATTCAAAAGATTTTATTTTAAAAAATAAGACTGATGTTTGTTATGGTATTATTTTTCATTATATTTTTTAAATCAGTTTGATTTTTCTTAGAAACTGAAATATATAAAAAAGGGTCAGTATTTTGAAAAAGTTCAAAAGTTTGCTAATATTTTAAGCGGATTGAATTAAAATTGCTGCAATTTATCAGCATGTATTTTATGGTGAATAGCTCTTAGCATGCCACACATACCGGAGGATCTTCCTTTTTTAGGATATACAAATGGGTTATGGTAGTTTGTCCAATATGGAGCCTGGACATAATCACTTCTTCTCTTCTAGTTTGGCATTTCTGATCCAATAGTTGGTTTAATTTTAAATAATTTATTGTTTGTGCAGGAGTTCCATAGGTTCTACCACTCCTCCCTAATATATTTATTGTTTGTTTGTTTCAGGTCTGTCTATGGGATTTTGGTATATAAGGTGTTTGAAAAGTCTTACTAATTAACCCATAGCTAGGGGGAAGATAGATTTATACCTTTCCATGGTTATTTGTGTGTAAGTGAATATAATAAACCCAATGGGAATTGGAACTTGGTTCTCTAATTATTTATTAGTGATTGATCTGTTTTCTATCCTTTGCAGATTATTGAAAGCTCAAAAATATTTTTAGATTGTAAGAATTTTTTTTTTTTGGAGGTGTTTGGCATATCAATCCATTGGGTCACTTAATGCCGAAATTTAATGTTTTTTTAAAATAATGTTTTGTATTTAACAGTCAAAAACTTTTATTTTCAAAAGTAAGACTGATGTTTGTTATGGTTTTATTTTTTCATTATATTTTTGAAATCAGTTTTAATTTCTATTAGAAATATGTAAAATGAATCAGTATTTTGAAAAAGTTCTTTTAAGTTTGTTGTTTGCTAGTATTTTAAGTGGATTGAATTAAAATTGCTACAGTTTATCAGTATGAGTTTTATGGTGAATGGTTATGACAAAAGGTTTTGGTTTATTTTGTTTAACAACATATCAACACCTTATGGGTCATTTAATGCCGAAATTTAATTTTCTTCGGAGCTTTGATAATGTTTTTTTTTTTTACTATTAAAATCTATTGGTGGAAACTTTTACTATAATAATGCATTTTTATACTTTTATAGTTTTCTGATACCAGTTCTGAGGTTCACTATTTACCCATAGCTTAACAGGTGCTACCACGGGACAACAGCAATTAAGAGGTTCCATGCTCCTCAAAACCTCCTGATCAGAGACCTTGCTTCCAGATGTAGTTTATCATCATACCCAGGACGATTTTGCTTGGAAACCTAGCAAATAGCTCCTATATGTTGTAATGGATGAGGCTGAGAATAAACTAAATTCAACAATTTTTAAAAAGAATAAATTTCAACATGCAGCAATACTTTTTGTATTTTTATAAAAGGAATAACATGATTTACAAACAAGAAAAATATTTGTGTGTACACAAATAGCTGAAAAGGATGTACAAAAAAAAGAAGATATTTGGAAATGTGTGAGATACATTACATGACAGTCTCCCCAGAAGAGAAGACTGGACAAGCCTCCTACCTACTGCAATCTAGAATGGAGAGAGAAAGAAAGAGCTTATGTCCTTTCTTTTAGAGTCTCTTGGTAGACAAGGTGGGATTAACTCTAGAATTACAAATATAATAAAATACAGAGGAATTTGATTTATATTTAAAATTGGTATTTATTTTAAAGAATAACAGACTTGCATCAGTTATTGTAGATAATAATATCTAAGTATTATTTGGAAAAGTAAAATATTATAAAATAATTAATATCCTTTAAAGTGACTGTATTGAGTGGCCAAAATAGTTGTTCTGTTTATTAAATAATAAAATTGTAATATTTTTGTATTTTCATTAACTTTTATGCACGATACATTGAATATTTTATTTCTTTATCTCAGTGATTCTCAAACAGTGTGCCTGGGCACACTGGTGCACCTTGGCATTCCAGATATAAGAAATAAATATATTTACTTTATTATATTACTGTATCCGTCTCATTCTTATGTGATTGAGGCTTTTATGCTCTCACCACAATTAAGAGAAAAAAGAGAGGAATTCTTCAATGTATTGACGAGGAAATGAGAGTTTGCCTATGAAATATATGCCCAAACATTAAAGAAATCACTAAGACTCACCAGGCTCATGTTTCTCAAACACAAGAATGAATAAATTTAAGGCATGTTTCTTTTTATATTTTTTATTGCATTATTTCTTTTCTTCAATATTTGACTTATCTATATCTATAATTCTCAAAATGTGTGTGTGTGTGTTATCGGATGTTGTTTATGCATTTCCAGTTTTCATCAGATTTTGATGAAATTTTTTTGTTTGATAGATAATACTTCAGTGCCGGTTTCGAGTCCAAATTGTTGGCGGCAA